CGTGGCAACGCTCACCATGTCCTGCTTGCCAGGCTCCGCCAGACTTAGACATACAAAACACAAGCAGACAAGACGGCAACTCGACCCACTCACTGCAGACACAAGCCTGCATCATGTGCACGTAGCGAAACAGAGACACTTTAAGATTTCGTCTGCATCCATCAGACAAACACTCATGTGTGACTCAATACGTAACACGCAATACGACACAGTGAAAATCAAGGGGGGGGAGAAAGACACAATGCCTATTCGCGCTGCTGCCGTTCACTCGCCGCGAGCTCCGCCAAAGCTCGCCACCATCCTCTTGGACCGACCAGCACACTGACTGACGAATGCATTGATTGCATACACACAAATGGCCGTCCCGTCCCGACAGGCAGTCCACTCACTCATCGGTCCACTCATCCGGACCACCACACGACAAAGAACGTCACCGCGTGCACTGCACTCCTTCCCCGCCTCAATGCAATGCGTCTCTCGACGAAAGTTCTAGCTTTTGGTGAGCACTCGCAGCACTGCAAGGAACATCTCTTTAGGCGTGTAGTTATGCCACAGCCGCCGCCTGTCGTCCGACTTCCTCAGATCATCCTCACTCATCTCGCTCTTGAGCACATCGACGATCTTCATCTCCTCCTCGCGGTTCAGCGCCACGCCCATGGTGCACAGCCGCACCCCCTTGAACGACGTCGTCCCGTCGGCATTCATGGCGTAGGCGCTCTCGTGGTCGCTCTTCTTGCGCTTGAACATCTGCTGGGAGGCCTGGCCGATGGCCCCGGGGTGCCGGGCGGACGTGTAGGGGTTCTTGGGGCCGCGCATCATCCGCGAGAAGCGCCTCATGACGCGACGCAAGAGGCGGGAGAAGAGAGAGGGCTGCGTCGCCTCCAGGGTCACATTGGAGGAAATGAAGTGGTTCTTGACCACTGACACCCACACACCCACCCAGACACACAGACAGACAGACAGGCATACAGACAGTGCTGGTGGTTGAGTGTTGTTGTGCCGTGATGGCCAACCAACGGACCATTGGGTGTTTTGTATCCGAGTGCGGCGTATTCCTCGTCGGTGCCCTGGTAGAAGCCGAAGTCGAATCCCGTCTTGCTGAGGCCCTCCTGGTCCAGGGGGAAGTCCGATGCGACCACGGGGAAGGGGTGGCGCATGGGGGTGGCCCCGCCGCCCGCCCCCGCCCACATGTGCTTGGTGAAGTCGCGGTGGTTCCTCTCCTGCTTGAGGATATTCTCGAACCGAGGGATGCGCCACGTGACCCAGCCAAAGGGGTCAAACACACTGTTGGCCTGCCCAGACACAGACAGACAGAGACAGGCAGACAGACAGACAGGCAGACAGACAGACATCGACGACCGACTGGCATTATATTATTATGTTGGGCCCGTGTGGGCAGGGCAGGAGGGGAGCTCACCTACCCTGACTTTGAACTTGATGTATTTCCTGGTGGTCCAGACCAGCCTAATTCTGCTGAGAGAGAACACGTCCCCCTGCAGGCCCTGCAGCCCCCAGAAATTGTGGCCGCGGAACGAGATGCGCCGGCCGCGCACATCGTACACCAAACGAGTCGCCAACCTGAACACGGCCCGGCCAACAACCAACACACCCACACAGACACGCAGTCAGTGGCCTGCAGGTGTGTGCGTATGTTGCTCTGTCTGCCGCTCTAGCTTACGTCTTGAGCCGGAGGTATGGGAAGAACCAGAGGGCAAGCACTGCAACCAAAAGGGGACAGGCGAGGCATGCAGTGCAGTGCAGAGCAGTGCTGCTGTCCTCTGTCGTATTTCGAGGGAGGCCCATGTGTTGTGTTGTGTTGTGCCCTTGACGTACTTACCCACAGCAGCGATGGGGAAGGACATCCACGGCTCGATCATGCCTGGGGACCGACACAACACAACACGAGCAGCGGAGACGCACACAACACAACACACACATCCGCGATTCCGCCCTGTGTGTGTGTGTGTGCGTCTGACTTCTTTCCATGAGGATGAGTCCGCCGGTGATGAGCGTCATGGAGAAGCTGCCAAGATTGTTGGTCCAAAAGTACCACTTGCCGCCCGGAGGACGGTAGTAAACCACATGGACGCCATACGTCGTGTACACAGACAGCAGCCTGCACTCACACAACACAACACAATACGCCACACAAACGAACCAAGAAAGAAACGATCCTTCCCCTGGCTAGTTCTGCTCTCTTGTGCTGTGGCGTCCGTCCGTCCCTACTCACTCACATGGGGTCGAGTGCCCGCTCGACGAGGTCTGGGTTGATGCCTCTCAGCTGTGCGTTGCTCTCGATGGCCTTCCTTATTGCGGCCCTGCCCTTGGCCTTCTTCTTCTCCGTGTCGGCGCTCAAGGACATGGGCAGCATGCGGGCCTCGGCCATTTCGTCGTCGTCGGCCTCCTGCTGATTCGACGAAGGCTTGTGCCATGGGGACTGCACCGGACGACGCTTGTACTGACCTGGTGGTCGCACAGCCATCACACCACACCACACACCACGGATGAATCAGATGAGCCCGCTGGCGGCTGTGGTCTGTCTGTTCGTGCTGACTGACCTTCTGACACTTTGACCTTCTTCTGACCTTCTGACACTTTGATCTTTTTCTTGTTGTGGTCAGGTTGGTAATACGCCGACGCTTTGGTGGCGAAATGCCGCACTGCCATGACGCGCAGACGCCCATCGAGCCGTCCAGCGATGAAAGGGCGGCATCGATGGTGGCCTCCCATGGCCCTGGCTGCTGCACTCCACCCTGAGCGGCATCTTCGCTGTCCGGCACGCCAGATCTGCGACGAAGCGTCGATTGCGTGGGCGGGCTGCGTTGCTGCTGATGGTGTGGTGGATGCAAACACTCGGCCCAGATTTCGCACAGAAGCCGAGGTCATCTGCGTTCGGCGATCTCGGGAATCGGTTTCAGCGGTGCGAGCTTAGCTTTGAGTTTTTTGGCTTGCCCTACTCCCCTTTTGTTTTTGATGCGTAGGATCTTCCTGAGATGTCGGTGGGTACACTTTCAGGTGCAGCCTCTGCGACGCAGCATCCCCTGCAGCCGCCTCCAGTCGACGCACCAGCCACATCATCGGCAATCAACGAGGCCGAGGATGTCGCCAGCTACGTGTCGGTGCTCCTCACCGGCGCTCTCTTCTTATGCGTAAGGCAGGCCCGAATTTATTAACCGAAATCAACGCGATGCTCTGCAATGATGGTTCTTCGCTGTCCTGTTGTGTGTGCGCCCCTCCTCTCCCCTCTGCCCACTGCAGATTTATCTGGCGGTGCTCATTCGGAGAGGCACTATCAGACACCTGCCTGAGAGTGCTGCGTCGATTCTTGTGGGCTTCGCGACTGGGGTTCTGGTGCGGCTGCTCCATCTGACGAAGCTGCAGTCTCTGCTGCGGTTCGACCCAGAGGTGTTCTTCTATGTGCTTCTGCCGCCCATCATCTTTGAGGCGGCCTTCTCGCTCGAGCACCACCTGTTCTGGCAGCACATCGATGGGGTCCTGGCGCTGTGCGTAATCGGCACTTTCGTGTCGGCGGTGGTGGTGGGGTACGGTCTCTACTGGCTCTCGCCGCTCGTCGGCATCATGGGCGACGAGAGCTCGAGACTCTACCTGTGCCTCATCTTCGGCGCACTCATCTCCGCCATCGACCCGGTGGCGACGCTGTCGATATTCGACAAGTTCCCATCTTGTCCGGCGGACCTGTACAGCTTGATGTTCGGCGAGAGTGTCCTTAACGACGCCGTGTGCCTGGTGCTGTTCCACGGCTTCCTCAAGATGTATCAGCGGGGAGGGACGAAGGGCACGTCGCTCGGAGGGGTGGGTCAGTCAGCATGGCAGAAGAGATGGGCGATTTGATGAGTGGTGTGGGAATGTCGGGTGGTTTACAGGTGGTGCTGAGTTTCCTGGAGGTGTCTTGGGGGTCACTTCTGATCGGTCTGGTGCTGGGCGGGCTCGTGTCAGCCCTCTTCAAGAACCACCAGCAACTGAAACGGTCGGTGCGCATCAAGACCGGACTCTCTGTTCTGTGTCTGTTTGTAAATGTCTGTTGGTTCATTCGTTCGTTCAGCCACCCAGAGTTTGAAGTGGCCCTGACATTCTTCTCAGCCTACCTGTCCTATGGGCTTGCGGAGCTCTACGACTTCTCGGGCATCACGGCCCTCTTCTTCTGTGGCGTTATGCTGGCACACTACAACAAGTAGCTGACGCACGAACGAGCACACCACAAGGGAAGGCCACATGCATGTCTTGATCCGTGTGTTTGTTAACGTCGAGTTGGTCAGGCGGAACCTGTCGGAGAGGTCGCGGATATCGTCGGATGTCACCTTCAAGACGCTGGCTGTGGTGGCAGAGACGGCCGCATTCGCCTATTTGGGCTTCGTTGCCGCTGACTCAATTGGTAAAAACGAACACTTGCGCACACAGCCAGGGACTGTGCCGAGTCAATCGCGTCTGTCTGTCTTCTTCTCTCTGTCTGTCTGTCGGTCAGGTTTCTATGATTGGAATGCGGCGTTCATCGCTGTGAGTTTAGTGCTGTGTGTGGTGGGCCGGGCGGCACACGTCTTCCCCATATCGGCAGCGCTCAATGCGTAACGATAGATAGAGAGGCCGATGTCATGGCCGATGTGACACTCACACTGTTCCTCCTTCTCTCCAGGTGCCGTCCCCGTGAGCAGCGCATCTCGATCAACAAACAAGTGAGGGCTGGCTGTGGCGGGAAGGAGACAAGACGACGTCATGGTTCGATGATTTGTCGGTCTTGTGTGTCTTGCTCAGGTGTTCTTGTTTGTTGGCGGATTGCGTGGTGCGATCTGCTTCGCCTTGGCACTAAATGTGCCCTGCGACATCAACGCCAACACGGGAGAGATCGAAGCCACATGCAAACACGACAAGGTGACCCGTTAATTGACACATCTGCCACGCAATGAGGGCAAGCGTCAATCGGTGCGATTGGTGGGTGGCTGTCAGGACGTCATTGTGACATCAACGATCGTCCTCATCGTCGCCACGACCATCGGCCTGGGCTCCATCCTCGAGCCTATCGCCGTATCGCTCAAGGTCATCTCCCCACATGACAGCCCCCTACCCCTCCCCCCTCACGGCAACGGCACCGATGACGGTCCAGACGTCCCTGTGGACGGCCCACAACCCCCTCCTCTCCTCAATGGCGGCCAAGCCGACACCTACCTACCTCTGCAGGAGATCCGCTGGGGAGCGCATCACGCCGACAGCGACGCACAGCTGCCGCTGATCGGGTCCCGCCAGCAGCATGGTGATGACGATGTTGAGGTACATCCGATGCTACCACCCACTGTGCCGCTGGAGCTGCTGCCGTCCCCCGTCATCTCGTATGTGGCATCCTCCTCGCAGCACGGTGCGTCACCCGACAGGATGATCCACCGCCCGCCGTCCAGCCCTCTGGCGGCCCACATGACCACCACCAGCACTGCTGAGAGCGCCCTGCCCCCGAGCATCTTCGTGCCCAGACCAGAGTGCAATCGACTAAGGGACACCGAGGCCTCGGGAGAACACGCACATGCCGCTGTGCCGGTTACGCGCTCTGTGCCGCTGCCCAACCACTCCCCGTTCGGCAACGGGCACGACCTGCCCACCCCGTACCTGCTGCCCGGCGTGCAGCACGACCACACCCACACCCCCGAGCGTCTGCCCGTCGACCACGAGGCGACCGACGGGAGGCGATGTGCGTGGCGGTGGAGTGATGGCGACAGGGGGATGCCCAGCTCGCCTCTAAGTGAGGGCAGGGGCGACAGGACCGGCAGGGCGGGAGGGGGAGGGGCGGGGGGACGGCTGCAGCACCATATCAACGACACCCGGCGAAGGCATGACGATGGTGAAGCGGGGCTGCCGCCCTGGAAGGACATCGTCAAGGACACAGCTGGGTACCTGGGTGAGTTTGTGTCGGACTTCCTGCGCAGTCCATCCAAGACACCTGCCAGGGGCGCGGCGCGTGAGGATCCCGATGACGGGCTGGGGCGGTTGGGAAGGGGGGCGGGGGGATGTGAGGCATCACGGGGGGCCGATGATGCCATTTAGCGCCCACTCGCACACTCACTCGCCCCCAATTCAGACGGCTGGCGGAGAGGAGTGCGTCTGTCTGTGTGTCTCATTTTCTGTCGATGTCGGTGCTGATAGTGGTGGGGTGGGTACGTACTGTCCTAGCGGGTGGGACGTTTTTCACCGTTGTGAATGATTTTGTGGACAAACAACGATTTGGATGCATCGGATTGGATGGTGGGAGAGAATTGATACGGTTGTTGCGTTGATGCAGATGGATGGACTCAACACACAGTCGTACAGTCAGCCGATCGGTGTACCATATCATTCACACACTCAAAATGTCCACTCTATTCGGTTGGTCGAATGGCAGACATTCAAAGCCGCGTGAATGTTAGGACACACTGGCCAGCGGTACAAGAGAAGACACAACAACACCACATAAACCGAACCTACCAACACCTGCCTAAAGCGGTCTCATGACTTGAGTGCCAGCGCGTCGAATCGGCCCTCAGATCGCATCCTCGACGCATCACCGTAACTGAACACAACGCACACACCACAGACAGACAGACAAAGGAGTGTTCAATCGGGCGACACAAGGGTGAGAGCATGTCCCGCCCACCGACCCTTTGTGGAAGAGCTGCATCAGCTGGCCCCGTGTGACGCCCGCCCGAAGCGTCTGCCACATGGCCTGATCGAACAATCAACGTGTCGACACACACTCATGTATACAGAGTGTAGCCGTGTGTTATTACCTGTTCTGGTGGGCGGTCGATCTCGATCTTGTGAGCGGGGGAGGAGGAGGGGTCACTCTGGCTTTCAGGACATCGCCTGCGTCACACACAGTGCACACACAATACATGCACTCCATCTGACCCTTCCTGACGGCCGTGCCCACCTGAATGTAAATGTCCCGTCGATGCATCGCAGCTTCCCATAACGGCACCACAAACGACCTGAATCCACCCCACAGGCAGACAGGCAGGCAGACAGGCAGACCACCACTGTCTGAGCTGCACTCGCTTCTTTCGCTGCGGTGCCCCCCTCACCCACCGTCAAGGAAGAATGGGATATGCACAGACGCCATAAGGGCATCCACCAAGTCCCCACGGCTGCCCACACTCAGCGCCGCCTCGTGCGCATCTTCGTGTTTCCTTCCACCCACTGGTATGCGTGTGGGCTGCAGCCAGGGAAGCCTCACCACTTGGATGGACACGCGGCCACTGATGGATGCATGGGAGAAAATGATAGACGGACGGCCACACTGACTGCGGAGGGATTATGTGTGCCGTTCGTTGCGTCCGTACGCGCATCTGTGGAAGGCGTCGTAGGGCAGCATCTGCTCCAGCCACTGCCGGACCAAAGGGCCCCACACACCTGATTGCCCAGACACACACGAACCACGAGAAGGCAGCGTGACACACACACCATGCACTCTCCCTGCGCGCGAGCAACCCAGCCCGTCCCCCACCTGCCAGGCTGAAAGGTTTGTCGAACAGCGCATTCTCCTCGGCAATGTCCAGCGCACGACCAACGGCACTCAGCAATGGGCAGCCATCTCGAGGAGCAGCACCCTGATAGCCGGACATCGACTCATCATCTCGCCGTCGGCTCTCCCTCTGTGGGGATGCCTCGGTGGCGCATGCCGTGAGGACAGCTGACAGGGCGCCTGCGCTCGCCCCCTCGATGTGGCAGCCCGAGGAGCCGAGGTCATAGTGCTCCACGATATAGGAGAGGACGCCAGCTTGCCAGTACCAGTAGAGACCGCCTCCAGGCAGGCTGATCCGCACTGCAGCCTCCATGCTTCGAGAAGTTTCTGCGGAGAGGTCTGCACAAGCTCGCGTTTTTCTGTGCAGCCATCACGCCGCTGGTGCCCTGTGCCATCAACACGCTGTCTTAGTGCATCTTTCCATCCATCTGTCTGTTACGACGATGATGCGTTTTCTTGCTGCTGCTTTGGCCCTCCTTGCTGTGCTGAGCATGGCCACCGCTGCATCCAACGTGAGCAATGGGGCATGCTTGAGGCAAGGGATGCATCCACTCTGTCCTGGTTGCCTGTCCTCTCTGCAGGACGTGGATGCGACTACCATTCTGGAGGCGACTGAGGGGTTCGTGTCGGTGCCCGCCACTTACTGCTTCAGGGGCTCCTGGAACACACGCATGATGGCCCAGTCGCCTTACGGCAGCCCGGTACACACAGCAAGCACACTGCAGAGAGAGACATGCACAACACGCTGAGTGCATCTGGGCTCTCTGTTTGTGTGCGTGGTGCAGGGCGGCACATACACGCCGTCAACGACTGAGAAGAAGGACCACGGCGACAACACCTACCTGCTAAGGTCCCTGCGCCGCAAGTCCAAGCACTACCAACCCATCTTCAACAAAGGCTACAAACACACCTCCGAGAAATGATGACAGACGGCTGACTGACAGACACAGACACACACTGAATATCTGAGAGACTGGCCCGCTGGATGCCGTGAGTTTGTTTGTGTGGTGTTGAGTATATACGTGGGAGCGGTGGTGCTTGCGACACTGGGAGATGAGTGAGTGGAGCGGCGGAGGCCACTGCGCTTGTGTGGGCGATTCTTCCCACCAAGCATGATGAGTCAGTGATTGGGTGAGTGTTTGTCTGTCTGTGTGGATGCGCACGCACGTGTGTGCTGTGGTTTGTCCGTCTTGTTCCTTGCTGCTTTTTCGTGAGTGAGTCCACACACACACACGCACATACACCTCATGCATGCGTGAGTGCATATTTCGTCGCCTGGCCTGGTCTGGCTGGACCGACACATGTAGCGAGAATCGGATGACGGTGCGATGCGAACCGGTCCCGTGTGGCTGTCGTGTTGGTGTGGGTGGTGCAGTTCGGTCCCGCTGGCTGACCAAAGCACCAGCGGGCTGAATACACTTCCTGCTCCCCACGACTGCTCACGCGGGTCGATGATCTGCGTCCCGTGTCCGTCGCCACCTGTGATTTTTCCCTGTACGTCTGTATGACTGAGTGAGTCGATTTGTCTGTCTGTCTGTATGCTGTGCCTGCCACGTCCGCCGTGCCGCACTGTCTGACTGAGTGGCTGCGCTGTCCGTCTCTCTCTTCTGCCTCACTCACGGGATCCGACCCGATTGCACCGGGCGTCGAACGCGGTGCTGCTGATGTGGCAGTCAGCAGCACTGTATATGACGTCGAGCGTGACTGATCGAGTCCGTGAGGCAAAGGGGATCCACAGCTGTCTGCCGCTACGTACAGGTTTGTTGCTGAATGCCTTGTGCGAGAGAGTTTTCGACCGTGCGCCGGAGATGCGCGTGTGGGTGTGTGCTTCGATCCAGTGTGTCTGTCTGTCTGTCTGTCTGCATATAGTGGGATGTCCACCACCCCATCGCACACTACGAGTGACACAGCACAAAGAGAGAGGCAGTCACTTTTTCGAGCGAGAAGAGATGCAAGCGCTGGTTTTTTCCGATTGACACACATGGGGGGGTGCATGTGCCTGTGGGTGGGGGAGTGCTGATGTGGGGTGGATGGATGGATGGATGGATGGCGATGAAGTGTGATGGGAGAGGGAGGGAGGGATGCGATGGCTTGGCAAGTGGGTGGATGAGAGGACAGAGGGATAACGAAGTCAGGTGCATTCATTGTAGAGACAACGATGTGTGCAGCGCTGTTTGAAATGAAATCAGGGAGCGCAATCCGTTTGTCTCTTCGCTATCAAGGCATCGTCCATCAACGTACACAAAGCCGCCCGAGAGCCGCACACACACTCACGCCACGCATGTGACGCATACATGACGGCAGTGTGTCCATCAGCTGTCGCTGCATCCATATATCAGCAGACGTGTGTCTCTCTGCAGAGTTTGACCCGTCCGCGTCACTCGTGCGCAACAGCTACGCCAGCACCACACGACACACACATCCATCCATCCATCGCAGCCGCAGGCAGGTATTCTTGCTCATGGCACACACAAACAGCCGACACAGAGAGCTCTTGACAGCTCTTGTCCATGACAGAACATTTGGTGCCCCAAACACACAGGGCACGAAACACAACGCTAGTGTACAGCACAAGATGCAGCAGCGCCCCTTTCGGGCGGGGCTGGCTGACGCAGGCAAGAGACGGATACACGCAGCTGTCGGTGAATGCGGGGCTCCTCGATCGGTCAACGGTGAGGGACTCGTCCACTTCGCACGCAGCAGCATCCTACAGCCACTTAGGCATCCATGCAGCAGCTCGGCCCCCCCTCTCTCTCTGCGGAAAAAAGGCAGAGCCCTTCCCCTTCCGGCCCTGGTCTGTCTGTCTACCCCTGTGTGGTAAAGTGTGTGTTGATGAAGCGGATGATCATGTTGGAGTCGTACAGAATCGAACCACTTGGCAGCAGCAGCGCGGGCACCTGCAGAAGCACCACACACACACGACCATGACGGATCAGTCCCTTGTTGCCGCTTCTCCCTGTTCCTCCTTGCTGGTTTCGCACCTGTCCCTTGCCGCCCCGTGTGATGAGCTCCTGTTTGTTGTCCTGGCCGCTGGATGCGTCATGGATGTCGCGAATGGGCAGGCACGACGCCATCTTCTTCTCTGCCAGCACCTTCTCGACACGCTCGCAGAATTTGCAGCCGGGAAAGTGGTACAACACAAACCCAGCATTGGCAAGATCCTGCCCCGGCCCACGACAACACCATATGCATATGCGATACCATGGGCGGCAGCACTCACGTCAGCCTTGTAGATCGGCAGTGCGTCGACTTCAGCAGAAAGGCCTCCCATGTCGTCACTGTGCGATATCTTGCCCAGCACTGTGGCAGGGTCCTTCCCGAGCCGCTGGCACAGGAACTTGACGACGTCGGGCACCTTGTACCCAAAGGGGCCGTGGCCGCCCACGTAGACTACCGTCATCTGCTCATCCAGCACGAACAGCCGATCGGGCCAAGCGGCTTGAAGAACACACACACAGGGGAGCCTTTGCATTGGTGGGTGGGTGGGTGGGTGGTTGGGTTGCCTGTGGGTGACTGACCGTATTTGATGGCCGCTCCAGCGTCCATGGCGTCGACGACCATGTGGCCGAGGTCCATGGTGGCCTTGAACCGGGAAGCCACGTCGATGCGCTCCTCCAGGGACTGGTGGTGCCGCACCTCGACGTTCCCCTCAACGTGCCAGCCATCCGTCGGATGGGCCTCCTGATGATGCAACAAAGAGAAACAATGAATCGACAGCGGGTGTCGTGCTCTGTTATGTTATACCCGCCCACCTTGACATAAATGGTGAGAAACACCGCCTCCCTCCCCATCGCGAGCTCGGCCGACCTGTATTGGTCGGCGTGGCCCGCGAACGGACCTCTGCACAGACGCACACACACACACACGCGTTAACAGGAGCAAGGGGCTGGTCGGTTCGTTGTCCCGCCTTGCGCTGTTGGGGTGTGTGTGACTAACCAGGAACAGCTCCCGAAGTTGAGGACGTAGGCCTTCTGCGTGTCGTGCTCTTTCTTCTCCCGCAACACGTCAAACAGCGGCCTGGCTTCTCCTTGCAGTGTGCAAACCGTCGGGTTTGGCGCCACCTCGCCCTCCTTGACCTCGGCGCCTCTTGCCATGCGGGCGGCCGTCCACAGCTCCTTGGCCACCGTCCACGACAGGGCATCGCGGATGACGCTCTCCTCATCGTAGGTGCTGCCACCTGTCCTGGGCGCGAACTTCATTAGGGGAGCACGCAGGAAGAGCATGTAGTTGTAGATGAAGGACACAACCATGATGGGCACGATCTGCAGGAGAAGAAAGGATGAGAGCACGCAAGGTGCTGCATGGGACGTGGGGAGGTGGGTGCAGCCTTGTTTGTCATGATCACCTTCAACGCATCAATCATGATGCCAATGAGAAACAGCATGTGCTCACGCAGAGCCATCTTGCCCGCTCGCGGCCTTCACATGTTGCGAGCTTCGCCGATCATTCGCAGAGAGGTGAAACGGCCGTAATCATCGTCGCAGTGCGTCGCGTTGGATGCCAACACACACAGACAGTTGAGAAACACAGAGATGTTCGACGATCTATGATTCAATTCACACTTTGCCTCGTCCATGCTTGTGTGCATCTGTGTGTGTTTGATGCAGGTGTGGGGGTTGTCACATTGAGCGTGAAGACCTGCCTGTGGATGTGTGTATACTGCAGAGGAAAAGACGTTGTGTTGCTTCGTGGATAGAAGAATTGTGCTCGCGTCTGTCCCACGTACAACGATGGTGTCCCACTGTTCCATGACGCAGCCAGCCAGCCAGCCAGCCAGCCAGCCAACCAGACAGACAGACAGACAGACAGACAGACACAAAAGACAAACACGCACGAATCACAGGTGAGGTGGAGCGAAAAGTGACCGACAAGTGCGACAAAAAGAAGACGAGTTGGTGATTTCCCTCCCCGAGAAGAGCGTGCAGGCAGCCCGGTTGGTAGAAAAAAGACCATGCCCATGGACCTCAGACATGCAGCCGACCGATTGTCCATACAGGCATCCCTCACCCCCGCCCCCTCCTCCTCCCCTTGCTGCGGGGAGGCGATTGCGTTGAAATCACTCCAAGGGAGTGCCTTACTTACTAATGCTGTACATCAGAAAAGACACAGCAGTCTGGATCAGCCTCGCCGGCCGACCGGCCGGCCGGCGATTGGCAGGCGGCGGGATGGCCGACGAGACATCACCGCTACAGCCAGGCCATGTACGACACACACGAACACATACAAATACACAGATATGCATATACATGTGCCCTCCCTCCTTAAGACAACGCAGGCACCCAGTCTGCCAGCCATGCCGAAGTCAAGACAAGAGACGGGATGAAAAAAGAAAACAGTTCCAGCACACATACGCGTCGCACACGCAGCCGAACTTTCTGCCACGTGCCCCATGCAATTGAAAAACTGACAGAGGAAACGAGAGAGAGAGAGAGAGAGAGAGAGAGACTTCACTGCCTGCCATGCGCATCGACACAACACAACACAACACATCACAACACATCACATCACATCACAAACATGCAAGACACAGACGGCCTGCCTAGGCTTAGCCAGTCAGCCGGTGTCACATGAAATAAGGACCAGGACCATCCCTATCGGACGGCACCCACCCATACCCCCACACAATTATGCACCCTTGAACATGAACCCAGCCCCACTTGATCAAAGAAACGGCCTCTTGGTCCCCCATCTGTTGTCGATCGCTCAGTCGTCGTCTCCTTTCGCCGGGAAGAAGTGGTTCAGGGCGTCTTTGGCCGTCATGCGAGAGGCTGGAGGGCACACCAACCTGACACACAAACAGACAGGCACGCAGCACAGGAGGATAGGACATGGGGGGCAGGTTGATAGGTGTCTGTCATGCTTACCTGGCCATGAAGGCGATGAATTGGTGCAAGTATTTTTCGTTGGCCTTCGCCAAGAGGGGCGCTTTCGAGGCCTTGTGCTGTAGCAGCACATGGGCTGTAAGGCGCCTATAGATGGCGACGGTGCTCGACCCACGGGCATCCGGCAGTACCATGCCAATCTGCGAGAGGACGTCGGCGATCCCCGACCACTCCTCCTCCTCCGGCACGCCCATGACGCTGAAGATGTCTTGGAGCATCTGACGAGCATCATTATGGTATGGAAACAGACTCACACCGAAGGCCGCCTGCCAGATGGACACAGAGAAGAGAGAGGAGTCACGTGAGGCCTCGCGTATTTGTTTGTGCGCATGGTGTGTCTCTTGCACCTACCTTGAAGGCCGTAGTGGCGACGGACCACATATCCGTCTTGGCCGTGTTGTGGATGGTCTCGGGGAAGTTTGTCTTTCTCCCTGCAATGGAGACGCCAAAGAAGGAACAGACAACATGGCATGTCTGTTGTGTCAGCATGCTGTTCGTCTTCGTGTGTCTGTGTTTGTCTCTCGCTGAGTCGGTCCCTCCCCATATGCATCATTCAGGCATCCACGCACTCATACAATTAATTAGTAAGTTAGTCATGTATGTGTGTAGTCAGTTGAGAGGGGTCCGCCGAGTCAGTCAATGTCTCAGACGGCCAGAGAAAGAGAATGAGACAAAAAGCGACAAAAGTCAAACACCACTGGTGGCGCCTCCCCGTGTCTCGAAAAACGTCGTGCGCCCGTACGCAGAGGGGGGACAACGGCGCCTTGTCTTGTGCGTCGGTGGGCGTGTCTGTGTCTGACACACATCGAGTGCGACTGTGAGGCGCACACTCGTGTGTCTTATGTGAAAAGACAGCGTGACAAGAGACACTTGTCTTTTCACAGCGTCGGAAGAGACACTGTCTTGTATTTGTTGCCGGCCAAGTATGGGGAACAAATACGTGGTTCATTAAGCGGCTCGACAGGTGCGGCTCGACACAGACATCGATCCACCACACAATCCTCCCTCCCTCACTGTCTGCCTGCCTGCCTGTCTGTCTGTCTGCCCGCCTGTCTGTCTGTCTGTCTGTCTGGCCCCCGAGTTGTCTGTTGCTCTCCGCCTGTTTACGTTGTCTGTCTCCGCCTATCTACGAGTCTGTCTATGCATCTTGGAATTCTGCTGGCCATACGGCTGATCGATGGGACTCGAGCTCCGCTGACGCGCATGTCAGCATTGCCATGAGGGCATGCGACATGTAGCGTTCATTCAACACGCCATGCCGTCTCATGCCAGTCCATTTCAGGACAACCCAAATATTCCAACCGATACTGGCGAGTTCTCACCTCATGAGCCGTGCACATAGCAAAGCTTGAGTGGTGGTTGGCGATTTATGGTGTCAGGGTGGTCTGTGTGTCTGAGAGTTTCACCACATCCCCATGCCCCGATGCACACATAGGTCCTCGCTCACACCATGCACCCCACCAGCTCTCTGCGGGAGCCTTCTACTCACAATACATAGTCATCAGACACGTCGCATGATGGACGAACAATGCAGGTCAGAAGAGGGCAAGCTACTCATCATGCAACAAGCCAAAAACCCACCATAGAACGAGGGACCGACCCAGCGAGAGCAGTGTGTGTGATAGATACAGATACGAGTGCGTTCAGTGCCGTTCACTCACCATTTGCTGCAGCAGCCAGTGCCGCCTTCAGATGCACCTCTGGCGCCCGGTGAGATGGCGTCTGCATCTCGGTTTGTGTCATTCGACAAGTTTCGTCGGCATCTCGGCTGTTGCCGAAATCGCCAAGCTTGGTACACAGACGCCCTCCTGCAACAGACAAAAAGCAGACAGACAGCGTTCCATCCATGTGTGTGCAAGGTGTGAGTGTGCTGTACCTTGGTGTTTGATCAGGATGTTTTCGGGCTTGAGGTCGCAGTGCCAGACGCCCTTGTCCTCCAGATGGGCCATAGCAGACACCAACTGACGGAGGACTCGGCGCAGCACCTCGGGAGGCAAACCAGTGGGGTATTGCCGGAATCGGAAGCCGTCAAGCGTGCCTGTGCACAGCTCCATCATCAGGGCACCGTTGCCGCCTGCACCCTTTGCCTTGCACGTGCAGGAGGTGACGAACCTCACGACGTGCTTGTGACCAGCCAGCAGTTGCATTATGCGAACCTCTTTCCGGCCGGCTCTCGCGATAGCTGCTGAGTCGCCGTCAGGCTTGGCCTCCTTCACGGCGACGATGATGCCCGTGCTGAGCTGTTCGGCTTCGTAGACCTTCGCATTCCTTCCCTCGACGATGTCACGCACGAAATCGTGTGCGAAGTCGCATCCGCACTTGTCGCTTCTGAGAGAGCTCACACACAAACGCGCACACACAGAGATAGAAAGCCGAATTGACTAGGTCCCACTGACTCCCCCGCCTGGCTCCCATGTGCTTACTTGGCGTTGGAGTCGCCTGTGTCGACAAGAGTTGCCTCGGTGGCCGCACTGGAGTCAGCAGGCCGACGTCGGAGTGTGCAGCGCACCTCGCGCTCCCCCCCTCGCTTCCTCTTCACCATCTCGACAATGTCGAAGTGTGTCGTTGACAGACACGACGTTCCAGACGACAGAACGTCAACAACACTATCTGGGTAAGGGGTGGCCTCGCCGCTGTCAACCTGATCTTCCCGTGTCAAGAAACAAGCAGGAAGAGCAATGCCACAGCAGAAAGCTTCGATACAGAAGAAAGCCGATTTGAGATCTCAGATCTCAGGAACCCTAGACACGTTGTGTGTGGGGTTTGTCTAGGGTTTGAAACCCCAGTCGAAGATCCAGAAGATATTAAGATGGCCTGGATTTCCATTCTGGCAAAAAACACGACTCTACACATCGCACGCGTCTTTCTCGTGTGAACGAGAGATGTGTATATCTGTGTGCCACTCCTGTTTGTCTTTGATTTCCACCATCATCCTCGACGTTCAATGATCCCATTTAAGGCTCCTGTGTCGTCTTAATGCCTGAGGAGCTCTGGGGCATCGTGCGCTTGGCATGGCCCCATGAGCAGAGTAAGCGCCATGGAAGGTTTCTCTTCACTGTGTCCTGCTCATGTGATGCGGTTCTCCTTTGTCCTCGCCTTGATTGTGCTCGTGTTCGGCTCATGTCATCGTTACTGATGATGTCTTGCTTGTCCCGTTCGCGTCGGGGTGTCTCTTTTGGCATCCGGGACACCCCTGTCAGCTGCATCCATTCTGTCTTTCCTGTCCCGATCGATTGCTTTGTGCCTCTCCTGTTCCTGCCTGTCTTCATCTATTCATGTACACATACATGTAGTATATGAACCATCCCTGACGACCCTCTCTGCCCAAGTCTACACTACAAGCACCGTGTGCTCATGTCTTGGCATTCAATTCCTCATGCTCGCACGTCTCACTTTTTGAGGACGCCGTTGACACGCCGTCGAGAATTTGGCTTGCTTTCGTGACCTCGGCGTGTGATTGTGAGGGCTGTCTACGGTTTGCCTTCAGTGACACCCGATGCAGGTGTTCGAGGGCCTGCCAGGCACTGGAGGAGTTCGGCCGGCCAGGAAGCTGAAGGACGACGATGCCGGGATGAATGTCCTTTTCACCGCACACCCAGACACTCACAGTGGCAGACAGTCAGACAGACAGTACTAACTAGTTGCAGATCGATCGAAGGAGACGCTCATGTCATTTTCGTTTTATTTGGGGTCCAGTGGCGTGCAGTCTGCTTGTGTAGCCGTGAGAATGTCGATAGACATAGCTATATAGAGACGACCTCCTGTGGCTAGTGAACGGCCAATGGGTATGTATCTCTTTAACATCAAGCGACGCTTTCTAACGCATGCATGCAGGAAAGCCACACACAATGCGTATGCATATACTGCTTAATGGATTCACGCACAGCGAGCCGCTCTGGAGACACCGTTTAAGAGGCACTCACCTCTCTTGCAGTAGGACTCAGCGCCGCTCACGGTCTTGCCACAGTACTCCCCGTCTGGCAAATCTTTGAACCGTGGATGGCTAGGGTCTTGGATCCACTTCGTACAGAGTTCATCCCTAGACCCAGTTGTGGTCCTGCCTGCAGACAGACACACACATGGCCAGATGCACAAATGAACAAAAATGCGTACCCATCTCGTGCATGCTGTGCTGGTGGCGTACGGTGGATCTACACGGGTGATGCGATGCTGTTGGGCTTGAGGGACTCAGCCAGAGGGTTCTCAGGAGCCGTGATGTTGCTCGCTGACAGACAGAAAGGAAACAGAGAGAGAACAGAAGAGGGGAAGATAGAGGTAAGGGGCAGTCTCAGTCACGCACTTGTCTGAATGAGGGACAGATGGGCATTCATGCTGCTGTTGACTGAGAGCAGAAATCAAGGGAGAGACGGACATGAGTGGGTGGATCCTTTGCATGTCTCATGTCTCGTGTCATGCATATGCCTCTCGGCGTCTCTCTGTATGCTTGCCAACCAACTAACCCATTCGGTTCCCTGCGATGCCAGAGAGCACCCCATTGTCTGAATAGACGGAAGGAAGACACAGACAGGCAGACACACATGACAGACAGTGTAGTCGGACGGTGCAATCCATCGATAGAGAGTTAGTGCACCAATGGGCAATGATCCTGTCTCGCGGATTGGCACAGGATCCATGTGCATCTCGACATTAAAGTCACCTGCGACACATACGGTGTTCACACACAGCGCGACAGATAAGTATACATAACATACACCAACTGGGAGTGTCTCCATTGATCCATTCATCAGCCACACGCACTGCTTGTGGCCTCCCCCCTCCCTCCCTCTGTCGCACTTTGCTTGAGCGGGTGATAGGCGTCCCCGTCTGCCGGGTACGGCACGAATGCGATGTTTCTATTGGTGATGGGGGTCAACCCCATCGTGTTGTTAGGGTCGTTGATGTATACGCCACTGCCAGGCTTGTTGAACCGGGAGAAGTACCGGCCGCCGGGGTACCTCGCCCGGGGCACCACTGGGCTTTGATAGAGCAGTGCTGGCGAGCCCGTCATGAGTGTGCGACGCTCAGGCAGCCCCGGAACGCCCCTCATGAAGTCGAAGGTCATGTCTTTGGGGTCATAGTGAGGACCAGTGCCGCCGGGGCCTTGAGTGAGTCCAGTGTCCGTGGCGGAGAGGGAGGGGAGGAGGCCCGTGTGAGGATACGCACCATGTACGTGTGTATATATGGGTTTGGTGTGTGCTCACCTTTGTTCCTTTGCGAGTCGTCTGCCTTAGGGAAGGATTCCTCAAACTCCCTGGCCTCTTCATTGAAGGCTGAATGGAACGGAAACGACAGACGTGTAAGGCAGGCTTCGGTCGCTCGATCTGCCTCTCTCTTACACGTGATGTCGCTTGGCAATTCAGAAGCCGACTCTGAGTCATAAACACGCATTCCAGTGTATCATGATGCGATGCGTGACCCGTCCTCTCTATCTCCTCACCATTGGCACCCCTCTCAAGCATCTGTATGGGGAGTCCTGCACCAGCATCCGGCACGCACATGTGTGTCTCGATGCACTGCATCAGCGGGTTTGGGGCGGCCTCCATGGCTGGCAGCAGGCAGTCCGTCAGCTTGTCTTGCCGGCAGCACGCGGACTCGGCGGAGCCCATGTGGCCCTGACACATGCATGATGGCGGAAGAAGCATCACACGGCAAACTGGTGAGGATCGATCGAGGTGTCTCACCTGAGTTTGCAGTGTGTCTCCCCTGAAGGCTTCGTCGAGTTTGGTCTTGATTTGTCGCAACTCCTCGCGGCGCCTCTCCTGCAAACAAAGCGGAAAACACCGTCAGTACACTGATCGACCCTCTGGCTTGATCGATTGTGTCGGTTCTGTATACAATTTCTGCCCTGAGTGCGTCCTGCTCGTCACAGGCCTTCTTCTCGTGCTCACGCTGGTGAGAAAGGACCACACAAGACAGCCGCGTGCGGCAGTGGACGGCAGCGCATGCATGTCTCTCTCGGCTGACCGTCATGGTTATGATCTTTGCTTTAGCCTGCTGGCACTGCTCGATGCTGCGCCGAAGGTTGGCCTCCATCGTGGCCAACGGAGAGGTGGTCTTGAGAGACTGAGAAAATGGGGACGACACAAAAGCAGTTGGTGAATTGCATGTGTCCTGCATACCTGTGCGCCGAAGGCGACTTGTTTCTGTGAAGAGGCCAGGATGTTCTGCAGGTGCGTCCTTCACGATCGAACAGTTCAAACAGGCCGTGTACGTACGACACAAAGGAACGAACACACAGAGCACCGAGAGAACAGACAGGGCTTATTTTGATGTGTTGTGTGTGTGTGTGTGTCTCCTATGTTTGTGTTTGTTGCGTGTTGCTCACTCACACGGCAGCGTCGCACCGGACCGTGGCCTTGCGGAGAATCATCTCGGCGCACATCAGCTGCACATACAGCTAGGTGTAGACATTGCAACGTATGGGGCTCTCTTCTCTCGCTCCTTCTGACCAGATGTTTCTCCACGAGACTCTGCACCTGGTGAACTGGACGAACGAAGGAATAACCAGAGGTCTCGCGTCGTTTTATGTCCTCCTTTGCCCGACTTACCGAGGTCGTCCTGCGGGAAGCCGACGCTGGCACCGCCACCGCGCCCAACACTGAGGGCCTCCTGTTCCGAGTGTGCCGACGGCGCCGCCCTGCCGCTGCCATCGTGCGACTCAATGAGATTCGCCAGCGCCTTGGCTGCTGTGCCTGCATAGTGCTGCAGCTCGGCGGGATCCACACTCAGGCCAGAGCGCTCAAGGTGGTTCCCCAGCTCGACGAAAGCAGCGTCAAGGATGTCGTGCGTGTCGTCCCGGGGGAATGGGATGGCATTCTGTTTGCTGCGATGGTGGAGAGGATGATTCGCTGACAGCCCCTGAGCAAAAGGTGCTGCCGGGATGAGGCAAATTGGTATGAGGATGGCGAGCAAGAGGATGCTGCAGAGCTCCATGACGCTGCAATGGAAAAGGGATGCAGGAAAAGGGTAGGATGGGGATGCGGGGTGGGGGTACGTGGGGGCTGAGACGCGCGAAGTGGATCACGGCTCGGAAAGTGGCTCGGGAACGTGGCTCGGATATGCCTCAAGTTTCGGTCATGGTCTGAGGCCTCAGGAATGGATGAATGCGGTTCTGGCGGCAAAAACCACAGCCACAGACGCATCCACATCAATGCCGTCCTCGTGCCACAGTCACACACACAATGTGACAAGCTAGTCAGCTACGCAACGCAGCTCATGCATCATGTCCAAAATGTACTCTACTACAGCCACCCATTACCCCGGTCGACAGACACATGACGTCAATGCACACCATTTGAAAAAAGCAGCATGCAACGACTAACCCACCCCTCCCCCGTCGAGTCTGTCAGTCACAGATTGTCGAGTGCGATCTTGAGTGAGCGGACGAGGTCGTCTGCGTCCTCGATGCCGCAGCTGACGCGGACGAACCCGTCGGTGAGGCCGACCTTGAGGCGGTCCTCCCGCAGCATGTTCGCATGTGTGAAGACCGCCGGGCAGGTGATGATCGACTCGGTGGCACCCAGGTTCTCGCACAGGGACCACGGACGCTGGCACGTGTCCATCAAACGACGACCTTCATACACACAGATCACATACACACATGGGAGAGATGGATGGGTTTCTTGCCGCCGTCTGTGGTGTCGTGTATGTGTGTGAGGGGTCTACCTGCGTCGGTGCCTCCCTTGACCTCAAACCAGAGCATCCCCCCGTGCAGCCCGTCCTTGTGCTGCTTGTCGGCCAGCTCCTTCTGCGGGAAGCTCTTGAGGCCCGGGTACACCACTTTGTCCACCTTGGGGTGCTTCTCGAGGAACTCCGCCACTCGCTGCGCCGTCGCGCTCTGCTGCCGCACCCTCAAGGCCATGGTCTTGGTGGTCTGCAGCTGGTAGAAGGCCACCTGCGGCGACATGATGTTGCCCAGGACGTTCTGGTGGAAGTGCATGGTGTCGTCGAGCTCCTTGGTCTTGCACACCACCGCCCCGCCAACAGTGATGTTGTGGCCGTCGTAGAACTTGGTCGTCGACTGGATGACGATGTCGGCGCCCAGGTCGAGGGGTTTCATGATGAGGGGCGTGGCGAAGGTGCTGTCGCACACGTGCACGAGGCCCCTGGCCTTGGCCAGCTGCGAGATGGCCTCGACGTCAGCCAGGAAGAGCGTCGGGTTCGTCGGCGACTCGCTGAAGAGCATCTTGGTCCTCTCGGTGATGGCGGCCTCGACCGTCTTGATGTCGCGGAAATCCACAAACGAGAAGTCGATGCCGTACTTGGAGAAGTGCACCCGGGCACACCTGTTGGTCCCGCCGTAGCTGCAGTTGGTAATGACGACGTGGTCGCCGGGCTTGAGCAGCGCCGAGAAGACGGTGAATGTGGCGGCCATGCCCGTTGACACGCACGTGGCGCCATACCCTCCCTCCAGCTCGGCTATCTTCCTCTCCAGCACCCTCACAGTGGGGTTGCCTGTCCTCGAGTATGAGAAGCCCTTCTCGAGGTACTGCGCCACCGACTCCTGAATGAAGGTGGTGTTCTGGTAGACGGGAGGCAGGATGGCGCCTGTGGTGGGGTCTGGGTCGATGGCGGCGTGCACCAGCGACGTGTCGATGGCGAAGGGACCCTCCACCCAGGTGCCCGCCTTGCCGCCCTCGCTGCTGCCGTTCTGCATGCTGATCAGCTCAACGCACAACACGATGCTGATCTGATCAGACAGATGAGGCAACCAACACATACACAGAGGAACAGGAAGTGCGCGTCATCAGCCAGGTTTGTGTGCAGGGATGCATCAACGCGCACCCTTCGTTTGTGATCTTTCACGTGATCTTCCAGAGACTTCAGCTGTCCACCTGCTTCTGCTTCTGCTCGTAGGCAAAAGCTCGCAGATGGGGATCGATTTGGCGTTCGTTCGTTCGTTCGTTCGTTTGTTAACGGACACCGAGGTCCCGGCCCCTGAGGGCAGATGCTGTGTCCATGAAAGCGTTTGTCATATCGAGAAAACTAAGCTGACGGGTGCAAAGAAAGCCAGCGCTTGCGAGAAGCCACGGCCATCAAAAGAAACTGAGCCAACGCACGTTGCACAGGGAGAGAGGGCGAAGTAAGCAATGACCATGCGAACACCAGGGCATCACAACGAGCGAGATCCCACCAAAAATATACCACACCATCCGGTGCAGTCAATCCATACATGCGAACAACACGGAAGACCTCCCTACGTGGAGAGCTATAGAGCGAGCAATAGAAAAGCACATGCAACTCAT